ATACGGTGACAGCTGACATTCAAAGCTCGATGAATGTTAAAACTTTTTGATTCTCAGTTGAAAATATAGTTCTACTTGATCAAATAGTGAACATAGTACGTGAAGGTATCTCTTGCCAAGAGATAAATGTGCACTACTTTGTATAATTGGTGCCTGAGATAGTAGAACAATCTACATGCTAATCTAGAAGACGCTGATGCAATAACAATGCTTCGATATACAAAATAATTACGCTTAAAAGACACTAGGTACAAAGAATTTCGCATTAATAATTAATCAAAAGGACATCATATTTGGCCATAAAACATTGTGCGACGACATTCCCATAAAAATAGTTATTGCTGGAGCCAGCTGCATAACACTGAACCGTGAACTCGTCATTTCATCTGATTTATTAAATCTGAAAACGTTGACCAAATGCTTAAATGGTGTCATAGGCGTATAGCTCCTATTTGTGATCGTATATACATTCTATTCGAGGGCCTTCTACGTAACGAGGTTTACCTTTATTGTGTTCTATATTAAGAAATAAGTAGAAGATGATATATTTAAGCTTCTGTTCTTGTATTGTACTTCTTGTGTTTTTGATAAGAAAATATGCATACGTTTGTATATGGGGTTTGAACCACTTAGAACGGCGATCATTATATATTGCATCACAAAATGTTAGAATAGAAAAAAAAACTAAGTAATCTTTTAACAAGGATTTAGTATTGATACCACAAAGAAGCCGAGACCATGTCGTTTTACGTATCCAAAGCCATAAGAGCTGCTAGGCCATTCACCCCACTAATGCTTTGATTATGGGAAGAAAATTGTGCTACCTTAATACTCATACATGTTTCGTTTATTTTCTGCTCTGGATCGCGTTTTATAACTTTGTACGACTTTTACATAGATTCTATCCGTGAAATACCTGTTTCAGACAAAGATGTTCGATGAACAGCACGAAACATGTGTGTATATGAGTGCAGGCTGAGCGGTAAGTTACTGCGACGCGCTCGCCACAATAAAATATAAAAAGTGTCATTTTCTTATAAAATTTCCCTGGTTTACACCTAAACAAAGCCCCGGAGTTTTTCGTCCGGTACTGCAAATGCTGAGTATCCCTTCAGATGGGGAAAGCTTCTCTAAAATTTTATACTATTTCGACAAGTGTTCCTAAGCTTAATTGGAAAGCACTGGTTCGCATCTGTGTACACCTTTGTATAGTCTTTACAATACATTAATTATATATACAACATAACGCTTCCTAATATAACAGTCACGTGTATAGATGATTTCCGTTTATCTAGACTGAGGTACCGTCACCGCCAACCGTTGCCCTTCAAGTGTCTAGTCGATTATATCGTTATTCCTATTTGCTTGATAGTGTTGTAATGTGTTTAGGGTCTTGTTGTTGTTATTGCGATCATGGATCATCTGCTAATGGAAACAACCGCTGCATCATTTGTGTTCTCCTCATCGGAATAATTACGCACTTACCTAGACAGCATAAGTATTACCTAGACAGCATAAGTATTACGTCTCTATCTATGTACGAAGTTCAAGAAAAATCATACGGCGGAGCCTAGTCAATTCACAACTCCCGATTTATTAAGTCATCGTCTCAAATCTTGATTGAAACCGTTAGGAGTCGATATGTAAATTGGATGTTAAACTACAACTGAACCAATTCGCTAAATGTGTTGCTCCAAATAAGCTCGACCTTTACTGGCCTGTCGACGAAAATCGAGAGGGCCTCATTTCTTCGTTATAGTAAATTGTCATAAATACAAAGCAACACAAAGACACGAGGTTGATCCCCAGAGAAGCCTATCTTTATTTACTAAATTCTTACGAATGCTTTTATTATGGTAGGTGATACCTGATTCGTTTATGCGATCTGTACAGAATGGTCCGGCTGATATGCTTTGCTTGTCGATTAAATCCGATAAAACTAAACAACGACGAAACTTAGGCAGTAGTAATAACAGCTCCAGTAAATAGTCATACTATAATATAGCATTGCTTACTGGATGCTTCTTGTCTACAGCATCAGCTACCCGGGATGAGTTCTGGCTTGCTTACTACTGCTATCGCCGCGGCCGTCACTGGGGCGTGGTCGATGGCTTGCCAGGGTGTACGTGTATTCGACAACTAAAATCGAGTGCTATATAACGTCCATGCATCAGGCGCCGCTTCATTGTGTACCCCTGTCCGTTAACCACCCGCCGGACCCAATGCTCAGAAAAAGGTCCGATGGGTCCAATGTACCAATGCAATCAAGAGGCATTCGGCGGACGGTTACAGAGGCTATGATATCGGTACTGAGGCGTAGACAGCCGTTGTGTCGGTCCACTGTTGGCGATAGATGACTGCCATATGGTCACTGCCGCTACTGTCGTCGTCGTCGTGTCGTGCTTTTTGCCGCTGATCAGCCTGCGCTGGTAGCGATGGGCAAAGTGGTCAACGAAGTTCTGATCTGAAAGCGTTGGCGCTTAGCAACAGGACACAGCTGCCTCTTTATCACAAGGACAAATTCTAGGCAGCATTAGTGTCTATTATATCTCTTATTATATTCAACTATCTTTCCTAAAAGCTACACGTAAATCGCTACCAGTACTTAATTGTTCCATGTATCTGGATCTATCTAAAGAACTTGACAAGACAAACCTATAAGTAAAACATTACTTACAGGTAGTATTCTAGTGTCACCGTTTTGATTAGTTATATTTTACGTACTAGAGATGTAATTTGTCTTGGCTTGAGTCTTGAGTACGTTGCACTGGACTGGAGAAGCATAATTAATATATACGACTTTGAACGAATTGCCATGCCTTCTATAACAATAATATATTATGCTTAGCGTTTTTACAAGTTTAGTGCTTACAAAATTTTTAGAAATTTCAATTACGTAATTTAACTAGTTGTATGTTTACACATATGACGGACAAAGACAGATCATGGGTTTTTGTCCTAAAATAAAAAGGCAATACTCTAAGGGACCGGACCTTTCGTTTAGCAGGTTATAGGCTCGAACAGTGAACGTCTAACATACTGGAACATGATTGCTTTGTCCGTCTACTTATACTGTTAGTCCATAGCTGAGACAAGCATACTGGCCGTAAGTAATTAAAAATTATTTTATTTTATTTGCGCAGTTTACAAAACAGTAAGAGCCTTAACTCTATGTCATCCAGTATGATATTTGCGGATAAAATACAGTCTGGCTCAAAGGCACCCATCAGCGATTTTCCTTGCTAGTCCATAGCGCTAATCAATAAAGAACTTGAAGGAGATGGAGCACATATTTAACAAATATGATCCTGACGTATCAGAGTCCATTGAAGGACACTGCTTTGAGATTTGAAGTCAACCAGGTAGCATTCACTAATGTGTTCGTTAATGTCTACCTACAGGTCAGGGCATAACATTTGAGAAAATAATAGCAGCTGTTTCGTTTTCAACTGTTCCTAGCTAAAAAGAACAATTTCTTGAAGTACCGGTAAAAGTGGCGAGGCCGCCACTGAGATATATTTTGTGCCTTTGTACAAAATACTTTACTTCACTTCCGAAACTAAAAACAAAGTCAAACGACGAAATACTATAGGTCACCTTTGCCTTTGCTATTAAATTCAATTTTTAAAATGAAAATTCAAGAGCTCTCGGGCCCACTTTGTCGAAAGTTTGTACAGACATCAGCTGCTACGGAACCAATTCGAATACTGAGATCTTGTGCTGTAAATATGTTGTGAAAATCACAGCGATTATATCGATTAAATCGTATTATAATAAACATATAACCTTTGATAGCCGGTCAAGTTTTGCTATATTAATAAAAATGTTCTAATTTGCTTAGTATCTACTAAATTATACGAACTAGTTGTTCCTGACTAACGAACAGAGTGGTCAAACTGGATGCACATGCTGGTCTTAGTAAACAAGGTTCCAGTTCTGTGAGTTTGCGCCCCGTAAGATGATTTGGCTTAATAAGCTGTTATCTTGTATACACGCTTTGATGTTGTAATAATATACTTGATGTGATGCCAACGGTGTTCCGGAGACCTTTATTTGATTGTAACAGTATAAAACAAGCAAAAAATAAATAAAAGAAACACTATTATTACTGTTTGAAGCTAGTGGATTAATCGATGTGTACACAAACGTTTCGTTCTCTTGAAGATGAATTTCAGCGCGACTCTTACCATATTGTTGCTTTGCCAGTTTTGAAGTCCACTAACCAGCGAAAAGTATGAGATACGGACAGACACCCGTATACTTTTTTGCGAAGTAGGCTTGTTGCAGGGGCTATAATACTGACACGATAGAACGTAAGCTGTACCTTACCCATATGTGCCCCAACACAAAAGCAGTATAGTTTTTCGTATCGATAGAAGCAAGTTAGTGACAATGAGCTGAGATATTCTGAAGTAACAAGTAACGAGAACAAGTTATGTTATAAAAACACAAAATTAAAACCACGTCAATTTATTTTAAAACAAACTACATAAAGTGCAGTATATGTATTTACAGTTTATTTGAAGTTGAATTCTAGATGAGTGGATAGCCTTTGCTATAAGCTGTAGACCATATGGTTTGCACAAAAAAAGGATAACGAAGTGGGATATATCTAACCGTTACGATCGACATACAGGCGTATTCGCCTGCAAGAAATGTAACAGATAATTGGAGTGGCATTCAACCATAGTATTCGTTCACGGCAACCGTTTGGCGTTTGTCTTTCATGTTGAATGACGAATTTGCTTCGCAGCTGAAAACGTTTTTAGGTGAATTGAATGAAGAGACATTTCTAATTTACTAGTGCAATTTTTCGGAGAAATTCGTGCATGGTTCGGTTTAAAGCCCAAGGGTAATCAGAGTGTTTTCTTATGCTTTTGGAAGTCGCAACCGAAAACGACACTGTAACTATATTTTTTTAATTTTATTTTTCTATTGTATAGTCTCATGGAGTTTATAGTGGGTGACCTTTAACTAAAAGGACTTGTTCTTTTTTGCAGAGCCGAACATACCAGTTTGACAAAATATTCAAACCGTCTGCGTCTCAGGAGCAGGTGTATAATGGCGCTGCGAGAGAAATTGTTAATTGTAAGTGAACAGATTATTAGGATATTGATTTTGGCAGCCACGCGCGTTTGGAATCGCGCGTGGCTGTCTCGCTAATTCTCAGTCAAGTAAAATGTCCATGATCAAATTCGGACGCCGGCCCTCTAAGCAGCAAACACGCGCACTCTAACTTTGAACCTTAGACTCAACTCACAAATCGTGCTCTTCATATGTTCTATCGTTAAGGTCCATGCTATTACTTACGAATTCAGATTTACATTAGATGAAAATTTTATCTTAGCAGTTTGTAGTAGTATATACCTTGTTCTATCTAGTACGCAATTACCTATCCAACCTTCCCCTTTTATTATTATTCCGAAGCTGCATTACATTAAATAGAGATACTGCCAAGTTGTCGTTTTGATGGATCGATTTCATACTTGTGCTCTATGTATATAATTTTTACTGTGGCATTTGTTATCTAGATGTGCTTAATGGCTTCAATGGAACAATTTTTGCCTACGGTATGACCTCTTCTGGCAAGACTCATACGATGGAGGGCGTTCTAGCAGACCAGGACTTGCAGGGCATTATTCCTCGAATTGTGCAGGATATTTTTAACCACATCTACCTCATGGATAAAGACGCCGTAATCACCATCTCAGTCTCGTATTACGAAATCCATCTTGATAAAATTCGTGACCTCCTCGATAGCTCAAAAACCAATCTCAGCGTGCACGAGGACAGCAACAAAGTGCCTTATGTTAAGGTTAGTCTACAGAATCACAGTTATCGGTGACCCAGTTAAGATTATACAGTTCTATTAGTGGTTTGTTAAAAATGAATTTTTTATACAATTGTCAGCACTGGTATGTTTAATCATATAGGAATCAATTAAACTAAATAACATGGCGTCTAAGAGCATACAGCCCTCGATTAATTTATATACCGCCTAAATATAATGCAGTTCTTTTCGTCTTAATGTATATATTTCTAGGGAGCGTCGGAACGGTTTGTAGCAACTGCAGAAGAGCTGTTAATAACCATCGAAGAGGGTAAGTCAATTCGTGCCATTGCTGGCACCAATATGAACGAGCATTCTTCTCGATCGCACGCGATCTTCCAGATCAACATAAAACAGGAATTTGAAGATGAACGAAAACTATCGGGCAGACTTTACCTCGTCGATTTGGCTGGATCAGAAAAAGTATCTAAGACTGGAGCATCTGGAACGACCCTGGACGAGGCTAAAAACATCAATAAGTCACTACACGTGCTCGGTTTGTGTTTCTCTTGTTCCTTGCATCACACATTTCAGAACGAAAGAACAATAATATATTTATGCATGCTGTAACTTACATTTTATTACACATGTTTGTATTAATAAATGGACCAACGACCATGTGTTACATCGTGTTATTGATTCCCTTGCGGACCCTAGGTCAAGTAATTTCTGCTCTTGCTGACGGCAAGCCGTTTGTGCCGTACCGAGACTCTAAACTCACCCGAGTGCTGCAGCAATCACTAGGAGGTAATTCGCGTACCACAATCATCATCTGTATCTCACCTGCTTCTTTTAACGAAGAAGAATCACGATCCACATTGGATTTTGGCCGAAGAGCCAAGACCATCAAGAACGTGGTTGTTGTAAACGAAGAACTTACGGCCGAGGAATGGAAGCGACGTTATATGAGGGAAAAAGACACGTCAACGAAACTCGCCAGTCAATTGGCCCTGGCACAAGCGGAATTACAGAAGTGGCGCAGTGGCGAAAGCGTCGGACAGGATGAACAAGTTGCGATTGAGATGGCCGCCTCAACGACAAACATTATTGAGCAGACAAAAGCACTCGTAGCTGCCGGACAACCGCTGCAGACCGACGAGCGCGCTGATTTCTACAGACAACTTGATGAGAAAGATGACGAGATTGCACAGAATTGTGTTCTTATCGAAAAATTGCGCGAGCAACTTAATGAACAGGAGGAAAGCGTGAACAGCATTCGACGGGAGAAAGAGCAGGTGCAGCAGGACATGAATGAACTACAGGGACAGTTCCTACGTTCGCGCGAGGAAGTTGAAGAAGTTCTAAAGGCTCTCGAGGAGTTGGCAGTCAACTACGACCAGAAGAGCGAAGAAGCTGATTCGAAAAATAAACAGCTTGAACAACTGAATGACGAAATCGGAGCCAAGAGTCAACAAGTGACCACTTTCCAGAATGAACTACAGCAGCTTAAAGATTTCTCTAATCACCAGAAGAGGAAGATCGACGAAGCTCTTGCAGGCTTGCTTCGTGATCTTGGTGAGATAGGGCTTGTGATGCGTGTCGGAGAACTTAAAGTTCCCACGCTTGAAAGCGGCAAAGGTATCGAGGATGAATTCACCATGGCTCGGTTATACGTCACTAAAATGAAGTCGGAGATTTCGGCCATGTCGCAACGTTGTAAAGAACTTGAGGATAGCCAAGGCGATACGAATAAGCGTATGGAGGATAACGACAAGGCGCTGCAAGAGGCGAAGCTACTGATTCAGCAGCATGAGGCGAAGCTTAAGAGCCAGCAAGATCACGTCAAAGAGTTAGAAGGCAAAAAGCGAGAGCTGGAAGAAAGGATTGATGGCCTAAACGATGAAGTGTCCAAACTACAAGCGGCGGAAGAAATGCACTCCAAAGAAAAGGCAAAGGGTAAGAAATTAAAAATTTGGCCTGTTCCTTGTTTTCAGCGAGTTGTAAATACTCTTGAAATATATTGACTGTTTTATGTATTACATTATGATTTGGATTAAGCATATAATTTCATTGAATCGACAGGTTAAAAAATAGTAACTTTTAGACACTTTCTGTACAGGTCCGTGCAGTAATTAGCTTATACTTAATTTATCTTTAGGTAGCGCAGACGACATCAAGGCTGCTCTCGAAGAACAGATTGAAAAGCACCGTGAATCCTACCAAAAGCAGATCGCAGCTTTGCGTGATGAGGTCAGTCAACACCTTATTACGATCGGGAACACTTCGGATCAGCTGCAGAAGCTCAAGCTGGAGCACGAAGCGCTTAAGGAACAGCACCAGAAGCTTCTCGAAGAGGAACAAGCTAAGGCGAAACAGCTGCAAGAATTACAGTAAGTCCCAAGAGCAACGGCATCCTGCATCTCCTACAACAAGGGGGTTCGAACTAATTAGCGAACCCCTAGCATCCTATGGATCGTGTTATACCAAAGAATACGCATGCTGTGATAATGTCACGACGAGTTCGATCGCTGCCAGTCGTTGAATGACCTTCGCCGTTTTAAATATTTATTCGATGATAAGAATAATAGATAAATCAAACCTCGAAATACTCTTCAAAATGTTACTCAGTATCACTTCTTTATTGCCGAGTACATGTCTAGCCACTGTGTCGGTGCACTCGGCATGACCATGTTTCAAGCCCGCTCACTTAAGCTGACTTATATACCGTTATTTATTAACTGAAAAAATTTGGGTCAACATGGCAGTTTCCTATTTCGTGAATTTAAATTTCCGTATTTATGGGCGTGAGTCTTCAATGGTATGACATCGACTCTCAACTATCGGTTTCATACAACACTAGCAATAAGATAGTGGTATGCACAATGCACACATTTACTCACAGTTCTTACCAACAACACCGTTATGGGCCACCAGCGATTTTTAGCCCAAATTAAAGCACTCAGATCGACTGAAACGTTCTTGTAAGGTAGCATAGTTTCGTTGAAATGCAGTTAAACTAAATGTTCTTTATTATTATGCTAAAACCTGTACGCAGACGTTAGTGCTTGTCCTTGACACGCTTCTATCCCTGGCTGCACAGACTGCAATCTGATTTACCATAAATCAGTTACTGCCTACTTGATGCAACTGACAACCTTTATTTCATTCGATAGCTGTTTTCGTTGGCCTTACTAATTGTCAAATGTATTTCAATCTACTCGTTACTTCCATATTTTCCACATTACCTATGATGCCTTACTTAGTTATTTTCCTACTACCTGGTCAGTTTGCACCTCTAAGCAGTCACTTTTAGTTGCTTGAATGATCGTCGTTGTTCTGTGGTCCTGGTCGTTTTGCATGTGCCCGCAAACTGACAAACACTTGCCAACGTCAGATATTCTTTCAGGTCGCTTAATGCGCGCCGTGAACAGGCTCGCCAGGATCTTAAGGGTCTCGAGGAGACCGTCTCCAAGGAGCTACAAACACTTCACAACCTTAGAAAGCTCTTCGTTCAGGTAAAAATAACTTACTTATGGGCTTATCGTAGCAAAGTACGGCCTTCGACCCGCTTGAACATCTAAGCGTTGGCTATGTTAGAAGCATACTTTCCGCATCAAATTTATTCAGGTCTAATATTATGCCCTTATGTGTGATTTTCGAAGCCATAGCTGTCAAGGATTCATCTTGTAGCTGCAGACCTACTTAACTGTGGCTCTCACCGAGGCACCTGAAGTGCCGTTTAGTGACCTTACGGTATTAAGAAATACAAAATGCCTCTTATTTTTCTCATACAGCTATATAAGTTGGAACCTGGAGCAACATGAATATAAGTTATTTAAGCTTGAACGTGCCCAATAGCGCGCTGGACGCCCTTAAACACATTGCACTCATTACCAAGCTTTAATTTTTTAAGCAACAAGAGTGATTTATGCAGCGTTTTTACCATGAAAAATTAGATGTATCGGAATTAACTTGGCGGTAATAATCTTTACGAGGTATAATAGCAAACTAACCAGCGCTACATATATCGAATGGTCAAGTGACTCTGCGCTAACCTCGTTTGCTTTTGACAACCGCTGTGTGAGCGAAGGAAAGAAACGATACGTGACACTTGATTGGTGAGATACTTGGTACTTCTCCAATAATACCCCGTAAGCGTTTTGATCTTCGTAGCTGTTCGTGGAGAAACCAAAATTAAACTAGACTAACCGAAAATCTGAACAATTGCTCTAATTCGAAAAGCATTTTCAATGTTGATGTTATGTTCTTCGGTAAACTACAACTGAGGTCTTCCCAGTTATAGTGGCTTCTGCAATGCAACCTACCTCTCCTTCCGACGAGAAAGGGTCGGCTCTATTTCGATCGAGTAGCCGCCGATGTCAATATTCGCGGAAGTATAATATGTTGCTTAAGCGGCCCTTACGAATTCGGAAGGACCACAGCCAAAATAATTCGCGTTGAGTCATTTTTCCTACCAAGCACTAAAATTCGCGTATGGTTGGAATAGGGCCTTCATGTACAATGTCCCATACTGGTCAACAGGAGTAAAATTTTATTGACGCATAGAAGCCAACGTGTAATCATAATGTATAGGCTGAACATTTTTCGGCCATCTACTACTGTGCTAAAATTCACCTTTCATGTTGACATCTGCTATTTCAACATTGAAAGATAGAAGTTAGGAGGGTTTTCAGGTAGCAACCACCGCATCATACCGTCGTTCTGTGAGAAAGTTGAATATGTCGCCTTCTAGATTAGACGAGCAATTTACCTCCCTAAGCTAGAGCAGTTACGTTCGTCTGCTTTATTAGAAGCCCCATGTTTAAAATAATCAGAAAAATTAATTTTTTTTAGAGTGCAGGATATTTCTAGTTCTCCATAATCAGATCCCTGTTATCATTGTGGAGACTATTTTGGAAAAACTTAGATATATACGTAACTGATGCCGTGTTTCGATGTAGTTATGCGTGGATGTACCTTGCTGTGCAAAAAGGTCAACTTACGTTAATATATTACGACAAATATTACAGCACACTTCTGTATCACTGGACAGTTAGGCAATAATCATCTACTGAAGGCATCGCAGTCAACCTTCTTTTGTATTATATGTAATTATAAAACAAGGTCTACGTGGATCACGCTATACCAGTTGGCGACCACTACTGGCTCTCGACTGGTATGCGTCTCTCTCGAAATTTTCAGTTCTCCTTGGGTCATAAAGAGATGAATCAGTTTGTTTTCGACTTGCAACCCATGGCTGCCAAAGGATTTGATAGTAGCGCTAAATAGATTTGTTTTTCATCAATTCACGTGTTTTTGTTGACTCTCTTATTACATAATACAGGATCTGCAGAGCCGCGTGAAGAAGTCGAATGTAATAGAAGCTTCAGATGGTGAACAAGATGCTGGTGGTTCACCCGCTCAGAAACAAAAAATCGCCTTCCTTGAAAATAACCTGGATCAGCTAACCAAGGTTCACAAACAGGTTCGTGTCCTTCGATTTAGTCTACCTTAAGTGTCCTATACTATGTACTCAGCTTTCATAGTAGAAACTGGGAAACTCAGCAAATGGATGACCTACACTTCAGAATAGAATATAGGCCTGTTTGGATTGGCATTATTGCTTTCCCTCCTCGCTCTCACGTTTTCATATTTCTTAGATGAGTGCGAAAATGTTCGTGCACTGCCATCAGCGTTGCTTGCGCGCTTGGTAAGATGGATATTCGTTTTTTTCGATAAAGGATTTTAGGTCGCTTGTGGAATTGTACCCCGTACGGTGAACTTCGAGGAGCAAGAGACGATAGTTTATTGCTACTTTTAATAAGTTTTATACTAACAAGTTAATTGATAGCGTGTTTGCATTCTGTTGGCCTTCAAGACACTTAGTAATGAAGGGTGATGAATATCTTGCACTCGGAAGAACTAGCTGTCTAAAGCACTGAATGCTTAACTGCGGCAGCGGGAAGACTACCAGATGAAACATGTGCATATTTATATTTAAGTTACTGGATACCAATGTTACTTCCGTACCATATTAATAAATCCATTTAGCAAGAGATTTCAACGTTGTCGTATCACTAATTAATTTTTCCCACTGAATATTGATACTCCATGTCAATATTAACGGAACACTTGGCAATACGATGTCTTACAGCTCGTACGAGATAATGCCGATCTTCGTTGTGAGCTACCAAAGCTTGAAAAACGCCTTCGAGCGACAATGGAACGGGTAAAGGCGTTGGAAACCGCCCTCAAAGAGGCTAAGGAATCTGCCATGCGAGATCGTAAAAGATACCAAACAGAGGTGGACAGAATCAAAGAAGCTGTCCGACAGAAAAACATGGCCCGTAGAAACCATGTTGCACTTATTGGTATGTACTAATACAGACCCTTACCATTGATAGCAAGCAGTAAGGTTCCAGCAAAATGAACTTCAGTCGGTTCATGTGAGGCAAAGAAATCGTTATTGTGATCCCGAAAGAGCGCTTGTCGCATTATATTTGTGCTACTATTAGCCATTAAGTATAACAAGCAGCTATAATTTTGAATTTTTGAAATGAAAATTTGAAGTTGAACACGGGGGCAAGAAACGATCGGTTTTTCTAACGGTCCGCCCGCTTGTATTGGAGGTAAACTGTTTCCAATGGTCGATAAGTATTACTATTTATTTGCTTCTCAATTATACCGTGTTGTTTGTTTACAGCAAAACCGATCCGTGCCGGTCCCGGTTCTGGACAGCCAAGTATCACAATTCGCGCTGGAGATAGTGTTTCGTAGAAGGGTACCTACACAGCCCCGGTTGTTAGGTAGAGTAGCCCCAGTATAGAGAGCGGCCGGCGGCAGGTGACCGGCAAGAGTCGGAAAACTTACGTTACCGTGAAGTTTGCCCGACTCAAAGAAGCCTGCACAATTCAAGCAGCACAAGGGTCTGGTCAACACATGAAATACCGGCAGCTGTTGAGCAACAGCAGCCATGAAAAAAGAAATGAAAAAGAACCAGCCTCGACTATATGCAGCACGAACACCACCACTGACTATCACCTTCAAGAAAGAAAGTATCGGTAGCGGTAGGACAATTTCACCTGCAAGCATTGTCCCCGTGTGTGTCTGTGTATTCTATTTTTGACGCCAGTAGCAGTAGCAACCGCACAAAAATAGACAAAAGAGGCGGGACAAGACCTAGATGGAGAAATACTGCTGCAATCGTTTTAGCTTTCTGTTGAGACTCCGTTGAGTTGGAGAAGTCACTACACCCACTTTGATTATGATAATAGCTGCTACTTCCACGATTGACTCCGATGTAACCCATACAACAAATGGAAACGTACAAGGAAAACTAAGAGATCGTAAACACTCCGAGAGATAACAAAGAAGGATACGCACTAAGATCATGCACCAAGACAACTTGGATTCACCCATAATTGTCATTCTCTAATTCAACTGAATATAAACAGCACAACATCCTCACATGACAAACACTGCTCGTCTACGTGGCCGATGCCCATGTCGGATACCTACGTATTGATGAGCAGCAGAGAAAAAATACAAATGACAAAAACAACGACGATACGAATCTGTTCTTTGGGCGTACACTTTACATTTCTTATTGGATGTGGCGAATACAAATTTCATAATACGCGATACGACCTGCTCGGACTGACTGGGAAGCAGGGCAGACCTGTATGGTTAGTTGATTTTTTCGATGTCCTAAAAAAGCGTTTTATAAACTGGATTGTCTGCTAATAATGCTATCAAATATTTATTTTTTTGTTTTTATATGCGTTTGTACGTTTCTTTTGTAGGGGACTTTTCAAAGGTTTTAGAACTTGGAATGACGCACCGGCTGTGGTTGGTATGATATCCGTGGGAGCAGTATTCTTCTAAATATATGAAATATTGTTTTGTTTTGTGTATTACAACCGCTGTACCTACCGTATTCTAAAGCGAAATCGACCAGCCCAAAAATCAACCGTTATGAGGCCTTACCGAGCTTGGCCCTAAGAGCTAGCTACCGGGGCCAATGAGGATGATGACGATGATTATTATAGGTGTTTCATAAAAAAAGGATTATGATGATAACAATAAGATATATTTATTATAATTCAAGCGATAACCTAACAACTTGATTTTTGTCGTTTAACACAAGTCAAGCAGGGGACACTGAAGTAATATTAGATACTACCATCGGCAATAGGATGCGATCAAGGCCCCAGGTGGTCAGCCTGTCTACTGAAGGAGTACCCGTAAGGCTAGATGCGGCACAGAAACGTAAGGTGAATCAAAGACGATCGCTCAGAGCTACGTGCTTTGCTAGATCAATGACTCGTATTGCAGCCAATGCGAACACTTCATTAAAATCATAAGAACGTGTCAAGCAGTTGCAATGAATAATTCTGTTGCCGACAGCAGGCACTTCTAGCGAGAATGCCCTGGCCCCGTCTGTTTAGCAAGACGGCCGTATGATATGATGTCAGGGATCGGCAGTCTCTTGGAGTGTCGACGGTCGAGGCCGCGCGCGACACTGCCGCCGCTATGACAAAACGAGGATATAGAACGACGTGAGTGGACGAAAAGCATCCGAGAAGCATGGATGCCCCACGAACTCGCCTGCCTCTCGCCGGCTCCGTCAACTCCGCTCATGAACATTCGACACAGCCAACGGCCACAACAGACCGTAGATTGCTCTATACTGCATAGAATACGTATTCATGCTCTATTCAGAACTATTTCTATAAAGGACGAAGTGTAAAGGGCTGTCGTAGACGCTTGAGGTAGTCCCCATCGGATCCATCGTCAACAGCTGTCGGCCAAATATGTTCAAAGCGGAAAGGCTAGCTGAGATGCAAAGAAAAAACAGAAGCCTAATGAATAAGCTAGCTAGCTAACTAACAATGGCGCTGATGACGATGATTATGATGACGATGATGATGATGATGATGACGATGATGATGATGGCATAGGTTGTGCGATCGAGTGATCCAAGCAGTGTAAAAAGAACAAAAGCAACATGAAAACAGTTAAGGAAAGATGGCACATATATGTCGTTATGGATATTATTACACCGACGCACCGATAGCAGTAATTTATCTGCATAAATTAGAAGAGGTTGTCGTGGAGAGGACGTGGAATGTGATGGGGTGCCCTCACCCAAATGCGCTTTAACTAATATATGCACACTACAACAAAAACAACAACAATGGGAGATGGGCTTAACATAGGAAGGGGTACTATATTATATTTATAAATATAAGCGAAAATATAGAGAACGATAAAAAAATGACAAAATATACGATGTGAAAAATGGTGTGAAGCAGCAGGGCTTGGAGTATGATAAAGGACGGAGAGGTTTTACTCAAGAAAAGCCTGAAACGGCAACATGGATAGTACATAAAAAATGTTAGGATAAACAATGTTTTCTGGTGGTAAATGGTAAAGCGGAGATCGGGGTGGAGATTTTGGGCTAGATAATTAGTTGTGAAGTGTGATACCCATGCAAAACAAGCAACGATGATGGCCACCAAATTTCGTATTGTAGGTCGTGCCTGAAGACCATGTTTTTTTTTCTTTTATTTTGCCCTGTTACGAAAGCCGGAAAGCAATAATGGACTTTTGATCATTCCCAAGCCATTGCAAATAAATGCTGTCATTTATGCAAATTTAAATAGCATGCCGACGGGAGACCCATTTTTTGTCGTTGGCAAACAGCATTTTTACTTTTGCTGCTTTGGAAAATATCACTCGCTGCTGGTTGCCAGATTTGCGTTATGTTAATGACCAGTCACAGCTCGAAAAATGTTGCAGTGCTACATGGCCATTGTTGTCACGAAGGGCCAGCATACTGGTTCGGCACTCTGATCCAACTCGGCTGTTTTAAACATTGTTCAAAATTATCATTAAAAATAATTATCAAGTATTATCTTCATGGTAAGGTGCAGTGAGATGTAATTTTTATATAAAAAGTTGGATATGTCTAAAAAATACGAAAAAACAAATGAGTTCATGCGCATGCTTTAGGTGACTAATATAATAAGTTAAACACGATATTACCATACTCAGGGGTAGAATGCGGTTTGATGTGAGCCGTAATACTAAAACAAAGAAACCTTTATTAGCATTGCCGTCTAAATACACTAGTGCAATAACAGCCATGAAAGGGATAGAGTGAAACCGACGACGAGAAAATAACTAGTAAATGATTAAAGCGTAAAAACCTGACTAATATACAAAAAACAAAAAAAAATACTGATAATTATTACTAGTAAGTATAATCATGCGGTGAAATTGAACAACGAGTGCATGAAACGCGCGCAGCGACGCCAATGATGATGCAGATTGTATAATGGCCAAAAATAATGAATTTTACTGACATCGGTAAGGAGAGGTTCAATGTATTTTTTGTTTTCGCGGGTGGTCAAGGTACTTTTGCATTTTGAAGTTCGGTTTTCAAAGCGTGGCGGGTTATAAAGGGAATATATAATAATGACATAATAAAGTGAATCGCGACAAAAGACGAGACCGCTAGCGAGGAAAGAAGTCGAATTCAAAAAAAAGGGACAGAGAGCACAACGGTCGATTCAGAATTGAAGCCTGAAATGCTACTGCTTAATGATTATAATTGAAGAGAGGAAGATAGAAACATACAACAAGAAGCTGTGGTAGCACCTCAATTCAATAAATAATTTAAATGGGTTCTTAGGTCAGACTCTTTAATTAATGCAATAATAAGGTTAACAAGTTAATAATATTAAATAATCGATCAGATTTTGTTTATTAATTTTTGCTGGCACTAGTTAAGAGCCTCATATATATTGGTCAATAATACAAAGCTCAATATCAAATAGGGCGTATATAATCATTTAAAACACTTCACGTCAGATGGGTTATACCAACGTTGTTGAATTTATAAAATTAATTTTGATATTTCTAAGAAGTGAATTTGAGAAATTTGCCAGGTGTCCTAACGGGAAGAGCAGGAGCAACGGGCAGCATGTATCTAGCATTATTTTTCCCGCATATGGAGCGTCTATTTGTTCGTGGAAACCTGCTTTCCTGCAGAGTTTATAGTGGAACCCATGCACGGCCAAGCGAGTTGCGACAATATGTGTTTGGCCAGTTCGTTCCTTTTCACTCGTTGTTCCTCATCGCACCCAGGGTAAAAAAATTCTCATCGAATTTTTGCTTCCGGTTCTTAAGTTTCGTCTTGAAGGCTTCCGCTACTGAGAGCTCGAAAGTGACAACGTAGATGCTCGTATGGTAGTGGCAAAGCAGCAAAAATATATGCGAGTCTATTTCGGCTTACTATGTCTAGTCCCATTGCTTTTTTGAAAAAAGACTCAATTGATCGCGGCTAGCTCGAGGCCGAACAAGTTGGGAACGGTTACGATACGCAAGTGATAAGGCGACTTGACCACCCATACAGCAAACACTGTGGGAACATTTCTACCGTTCGCGGAGGAAGGTAACCTGAAAAACCGGTTTGTACAGGCAAGAAGCAGTTTGGCGAGGTTTTTTCTTGCCTATGTAAACCTCTGTCTTACTTTCTAAACCTCGTCACCTCCATCTTAGTATGGTTTATCGTCAAGCCTAAATCTGCGACTCTCACGTGGAGCCGAACTAGACCTTGCTGTACTTAGAACCTGTTCGACCTACGTATCACTAAGTCGTCTGCACACGGGATGGTTTTGACTGATTTGCTTGGCCCTGTATTTTAATTAGGGAGGCATCTAATCAAAATGGAAATTCAAAGGGGAATTGGAAACAGTTATTCCAAACCCTGCCTGGATCGGTGGCATTCTTGTTGCATATGTTTGGAAGACTCTGGGTTAATTCCCGCACTATAAAGTCTTGTTAAATGATATCGCATTGCATTGAGAACCCTTTTTTCGCGCTGCGGCGAGAGAGGGAACTGTGCATCGTATCGTACGTCTAAACGCAAACATCTCCAAGTAGTGATTTATGAAAGTGTAGGAGCCGAGAACTGGCGCAACAGCTGAGTTTATGAAGTTGACGTTCTTCATCGGCTATCAAAAGCATGTCCAGTTTTTCAAGATATTTTTGCCTTTGTAACGCATACATTTTTGAATAAATGCTCTTGTAGAGTAAAACTCGGGATGTAAAATTTCAACTAGATTCTGCGCGTAGGTTTCGACATTCGTCACGTTAGATAGAGAAAATTTCGCGAGTGCGTTGCAGAAGTTTGCCTATATCTAGGCGTTGCGTCGAAGCTTAGAGCTTGACAGTTTACGAAGCTACAACTTCCACATAAACAGAAACGACTGCGCCCCGTAAGGCAATATACACTGGCCTCGTAAGGTAATGACGTTTTTTCTTACTAGACACGGCGTAAGGTCGCCAACTTCATGATTGTCCCTTTGGGCGGTCTAGTTAGTCCAACGATGACTCTAGCGGCACTTGGCACGCCAAAAGGGACCCAGCAGGACTTCTTACAAATGCGCACAGACTGAGGGGCACGCTGGTCAGCAGTCAGCTAATAACAGAAATACCATAGGACACAACACCACCAACGGAAATCGGTCAGGGCTTATAAAAACTGTACAAATCGGCTTTGACAAATGACGCTCACGAACAATCATCGAAATGTTATATCTTCTCTCAAGCTTCTTTACCTAAATTTTAAATTTAGGTTACTTAAATTTGTCGGATGTTTCTTAGCATAATATAAATTATAAGAAAAAGAGGGAGGACAACCGTCCTGAGTTCGTGATCGACAACGCTGTGGTAAATTGCGCCAGCTTTGAATCTACTACTGAATTTCGATTAGGTTCCTGATATTTATTTCAAACAAATATAACATCCACCTTTATATAATACTTTATTATGTTATATATATATATATAGCGAATTTCATAGTAAGTTACTGAAGTATGTAGCCTTTGTACAAGTCAAATTATATTCAATAATAGCAAATACTTGGTAACGAACAAACAAATATGCTTCCAGCTTTTTGCTGTTATAAGCTTGCGTATAGGGAACTATCTCCCTAAGTTTGTGATTAACAAACTTGAATTTATTCATCATTTGACTAGTTTCTCCTTAATTATTTTTGCAGTAGTTCTGAAAGTATTTGTTTTTACTGAATGTAATAATAACGCTGTACACTATCCGTTTTCATTTCGAGGATAGTTAATGCTACGTAACAACTATAGACTTTATCACAAATAGTAACAGTATATATATATATTCAGCTGTTCAACTACCTTTGCCCACATCTTTCGTAGGCCGTATCGTTATCATGACATCGCAGACACATCATCAAGCTTTCAAGATGGTTCCCATTATTCTTAAATCGTACAATATCAGAAAATGTGTAGAGCCCGACGAAGACGAGGCACTAAACGTAGGCATCAGCCTTGTCAGCCTTAGAACTACATAGACTTTATAAGGTTCATGATGAAAGCTTACTTCAGTTTGCCCTAATTTCGAATGGACAAAAAGGGCTCTCGCAATTTGGTCTTACATTATTATCGGTTACCTATATCAATAATAACACGCAGGCTACATACTAGATAATACAAAAATCGCTAAGTAGTAATTGTTATAGCATTTAACTTAGAATGAGGTACGCAACAGCCTTTTATTTATTACGAAGGCCAATACCTCACATAAATACCATGAATTACCTGGAGATGAGATGAATTTGCAAAAAGCGGCGACATATTATATGTCAATTCTTCGTCCAATCGTACGCTGCTGTATGTCAATGGGATATCATTGAGGTGGTGTACATATATGCGCAATTAGATAACAATTATAATAAGGAGAAGTGGTTCGTTGCGCCTCTTCCTTTTCCATCTCAAATTGCCAAGATCAGTTTAATATTAGACAATTCTTTTTTGTTCCTTAGGCAATATTTCTAGCTCTGGCGGCGCGTGATGGCCTCTTCTAGTTCCTACTTTTATTGCAAAGTCTTCAATCAAAGTGGAAGAGCCACAATTTTAGTTTTAGCTCTAAAGTAACTGCAGCTGAATATAGCTGAACTGCAGATAGAATATTATTAAAAAAATATTCAAAAGTCACTAAAGAGCGAATCGTCGTCGTCGCCGCCGCCGTCAGCTTCGTCTCGTAGATCTAATTCCTTTTCATCGTACTCATCGAAGTTTGTCGTGTCGCCATCGAAAGACACCGAAGGAACAAATGGTGGCTGAAAATATGTTAACAACAAATACGAAAATAACAGCTATAGAGAAATGTCGTACAAGGCAAGCAAAGATAATAAATATTTTACGTTCAAGTGTTAGACTGAGCGTTATATATGCGCACATATATAGTAGATCCAATGAGCAAGGTGTTTTTTTGCCTGGCAAAAACATGTCGAAGCTATTGTTACAGATATTATTTTCCGGTGACTGAAAAAAGAGTCCGGAGGAATCCTTCAAGCGGTCCTTTTAGTTTAGGGTCCTCGCTGCAAACACTTCAGACATTCTGGCTCACTTCGGCTGCTTTTCGACCTCGATCAAAGGTGAGGTAAAGCAAGAACAGTGAAAATGTACACTTTTTTTCCAACAACATTCACCTTTAATCCGCCGAATTCGATGTAAACTCTTTCATCGAATAACAGAATTAAAACGGACAGGTTGTATTTAAAATAAGACAAACAGTAAAATTGAAGTAAGAAGAACAGGGAACACTTAAGGAGACGACAAAGAAAGCAGAATGAAGACCAGAATGAGAGTTTGCGCCATAAAGGGTTAGTACATATTACCGATTTTAACTAATGCTTATTTCAAGTATATCGATTGAAAATAATATGATATATTTCAAGTTGACCATTTTTTTATTTTTCAACTTTAAACAAGAAATATTAGATACTTTCCACGATGGCAGGGATCTATTTGTATCTGTGTCAAACTGAGTCTTCAGTTTTTTAATTGATTACAGCCAAACGCTAATAAGCCTACCGAAATGCTGAAACGAGGCTTGATTCTGAAGTTGTTTTTTAAAGCTTCTTTTCTATTAAATCAAGTAATAACGGCAAAAGCCCTAAAAGTTATCGCTCTTTTTAGCGCAATTATCTGTTGATATCACAGCAAATAGTAGTGGCTGTTGGCCAACAGTGAGGCTTAACCCTGACAAAAAAGGCGCCCCATAAGTCTGGCAGGCAAGTGATGACAGGCGCCAACTGCATAAATGTCTCATCGGAAGAAATAAAAGGTCACATCTCAATTTTCACTTGATTATCCTATTCCTTATTAATTTGGGTCCTCCCTCGTCCATTTCTCTTATTTATCTTCTTCTCATTTCTCTTATTAGTTAGACATTTCTAAAAGTACCCTGCAGTTTAGCCTGATTACTACGATCGCCCGACCTTTCAGATGTATATAAAATACTTCATTCTATAAGGATACATGATGAGTCTTACTCTTTGACTCTTCTCTAAATGTAATTGAGAGGACACCGTTTCGCTTGCAACAGCCTTCACCTTTTATAGATATAGCTCATACATTACGCAACATCTGCCACTTAAATTTCGGTATCATCAAACAGGTACTATAGTTCACGATCACCATTTTGATTATTTGATATGCTGATACTAGCGGGCAGCTATCAAAAGAACCAGACGTCCTGAAGTTGCAATTATTAACACTTTATTTTATCGGAAACAATAAACGGTACAATAAGGCTTGCTTCAGTGCTGAATTTGCTGAAAATAGGTAAAAAAAAGTCGAACACAAATATAAATTGCTTCCCAGTTATAAAATGTTTATTTTTATTCTTTTTTTTTCATTTATGGTTAATTCAAGATCTATCTTGGCTTAATACTACAACTAGTATTTACTTTTAATTTACGTTTTGAGATTACCGTTAGAGTAAAGAACCAAATCTCCTTTATACTTTCTTAGGCGAAGCAGGACTTTAAACTCAATTATTTATTCTACTAGGTCATTTTAATCACATTTAGGGGTAACAAGGTATATTACCTAAGCGCCCCATGGAATCATCGGAAAGAAGTTTTTTTTCTACCGTTGACGTTTAGCTTAAAAATACAGCGTACAGAATACAACATATACGCAGGCAGTATGTGCAGTGTACTAGTCATATATACATGTATATATATACATATTTTGTGTATAATGTTTATACGTACGCGAACTCGCTTCATATACAAATATGCCCAGTTGACGTTCGAGAACCAGCGGTGATTTTTAACGTCGCCTGCTCCTGATTTCATCGAGCCCAGACGTTTGGACCTCTCGTTCACCTAAAAAAAAATAAGAATCACTTTTTTTGCTAACTATAGTTTAACTTGACCAGCTAATGCGTACACACGTATACTGATATGACGCCACAGATCGTTGCTTTGAAAAAGGTAGCAGATGTGAAATGAATAGCTTCCAACAGATTGATCGTTCGCGACTTCTTGTGACGTTCACACATTCAAACGCTATCACGTCACCGCCGCACTTTATGCCATTTAAACGCCACCGAAAATTCAAGTTAAACTATAAAGGCAATAATTTTTTTAAGATTAGGTGAATTAGGTTATAAGTGTCGGTAACTTCAATGTTAAATAAGAAAATCATTGTATAAGATTGACACTGGATGTACTGGCTATTCAGCTTGAACCACGTTCTATTTTGACAGCATGATTTTACTGATGTTCAATGATTTACCAAGAGTTTTTTAATGAGGTCCTTAGCGACGGGGTCTAAAAGCTTGGGCCATTCAATACGTCCTGCCAGAATTTTCTCGTATATTCCAAACGGATTGTCATCATAGAAGGGTGGATGACCGCAGAGCATTTCGAAAATGAGAATTCCTAAAGCCCACCAATCGACAGCCTTGTTGTGACCTGAAAACGTATCGTAATAAGGGTAACAGGATTACTTTTTTTGATTTACTCATTCGTAACGGCCTAAGCCTCAAAAGATTAGTGTGGTGACGAGCAATCAGCGAGTATTGACCTACTCAATCTATTTAGGACCGTTGCAGCCTCCTGTTCACGAAATGAAGCTGCGCTATTTAACTCAAAACGACTTTATCTCGTTAATGGACAAAACACGCGCCAGCATTTATCTACCCTCGCAATGTATCATCCAGGCTAATACATATGGTCAACGACAACCATCCGTATGCGTAAGGAGCCATCTTGAAAGGTGACATCGAACGGGATTCTTTGGGCTAACCGAGAGATCTGTTTCAAAGGGTTACACAAAAACAGACGGCTTCACCTACACACTAGCCTCAACGAAGTAAATAGTAATGTCACAGCGAACGTATGGATGAGTAAACAGCTCTCCACAAATAGCTGAATCCTCGTGGACAACATAATAAAAAAAAAACTTACTCCGGTATTGAGCTAATTACGCGAGACAACCTGAATAGTATATCCCTAGTGTATTATTATTATTATAATTAGTAGCAATTGTTACATATTGGACCTTCTGTTCTTGTCTAACGACAAGACGTTGACAGTATGCAGTGCGTGCTGTGTAGTGGCGTTCGTTTAAGACAGTGCAAGGTCAACGGTGTACTAACTTCTTAGATCTTTTAATTTAACTTAACCTGACAGTTTGACTCTTAATATCCCTTCTATTAAAGACCCTTGTTTTCTATCAGCTATCGTCCGCGTGATGTAGCGTACAAATTAAAAATTGTATGAATTACAAACCGCAAAAGCCTACTCCATTTTCCGTATATTTTACTAATTTGATGAATACGGGCAATACACGCAAAGTTCAAAGATAGCCTCAGTCTTTGATTATTAATAATACAAACATAAAAACGAAACGCAACTTTCTGCGCACATCCCTTTATGTGCCCAATGCCATCCAAGATACTCAATAGACGATTTCAAATACATCCTAATTTAGGACTCGGAGCGGCCTTATTACAACGGGTTGTCACACCCTATGGCCTGAATAGCAAAAGGTTCGGTCTCTTTTCCATTGCAACTTGTTGATAATTGGCTGAATGATATGGTGTGTAAACGCCAGACAGACGCATATATATATATATATATCTATCTATCTATACAGGCTAGCCCATTTACTTGCATCGAGCCTATCAGTCGAGCTCTTTGTCATCATCCGGTCTTACAACTAATATAAGACGCTCCCTTAGAATAAAATGAAAAATAAAAAAAAGAACATCACGTAGTCTGGGTAGTTAATTTACACCTGTCTAAGCCGGTTATTATGGAAACCATGACAGCCACGCTGGTCAGAACCCCACCGTTGGCAAAACGTAGCCACTAGGAATCATCGATGGAAAGCGGATGAACATTTGGTTGATACATGGTCTTCATAGGTGTGTTAGAGAAAGAGTTATCATTTCTTGTGCGGGAAATCCTTGGTATTATATCGAAGAGGATAGCCCTAAAGTGTACAACAAAAAAATATTTCCACCGAGTGTATTGATAACTCGGTCCACCAAAAAATCATGGGATCAGAATTCAGCTATCTATAAGGTTACGAAACCTTATTTTTTGCTTGCAATATCGCCAGCTTAAGTTTTAGTCCCGACTTTTCGTCCTCTTCGAAAAATATGAACTCCGCTAACTTAAATCCTACTCGTCCCCGTCTTATTAAGTTTCTGTACCATTACTGGCTGTCCCGGACCTCGGACTAGTAGATATATTTAATCTAGTTGCTGTGCCAATGTCTGTCAATGAATACCATTAATATTTTCGAGTGTAAGGAAAAACGCTAACGTACACTTTAAAATACACTGCATGTCCCTGCAAGGAAAATAAAGATCATGATATCGATGAGCAGAAAATGGCGATAGACTTTAATCAATTCAGGTTGAGACGCGTGCATACACTCTGCGGTTTGTAAAGCGTCAGCATTTTTTAGAATTGCCTGTTGAGTCATTTATGAGATTGCCACTGTTGATTAGTGCAGTGATACCATTGCTATACATGCAACTTCGAAGAGCGCGGCAGACCTGTTGGCCATGCGTGTCAACTATTTATTTACTATTTAAAACAACCTTTAAACAGATGTTCGAACCAGGCATCAGTAATGAACGCGTCGGATTTGCTTACCCTTGATAGAAGATTGTCTAAAATAGGATGAAGTAAAATAGGGCTGAAAATTATCCTACATCAGTGCGGACAAAAGAACATTCTCTTCTATTATTACTCAGCTGACGGGACTCTTTCGAGTGCTGAAACCAGTACAGAATTTCTACATGTATCCAATCTATTGTGGCCTTCTGATATCTGCTAAAAAGGCTTCGTGCAGCAGCAACCCGACCCACTAGTTGTACACACATAAGTGTATTTATTTAAACAACACCGCCTTATCGAGCGCGGCATCGCAAGTGCTCAGCATCGAGTAATACTCTTTGTTTTGCTACTCCTTTTCTAGGAACATCGACCCAAGCCTTGGGTTGTCAAATTTGCTTCGTAAAAAATCTTTGCCATGGGAAGTTCTATAGTATAAATACCGTAAATTATGTTTTAGAAGCTACGGTTGTTAGCTTGTCATGATAAACAATGGCAGAGAAAATTTGCAGTTTGCAAATACTAACTCCGTAAGGACTGAAGAGAGAACTGTCTGGAGCTAATTAGCATCCGAAAGTTAAGGCTAATAGTTTTTCGAATAGTAAGTGTGCAGTTAAACTTGCCTTAACAGCTGTCATGGGTAATGCCGGCATCTAATAAGAATATAAAAAAACCGTCGCCAAACTTTTTACCAGCTAATGGGAATCATTTCCAGTTACTTTATTTCTACTCCGCAGGCTCCGTTAACTTGTATTGTACTGCACCCTTTCTACACGCGGGCTAGCGAATCGATGCCAACTTAACATACTTACAACTTAACAACTCTACATAGAATAACTTTGAGTGGCGAAGTTTAGCGTTCTTAAACGTCATCAAAAAGCTAGTCAGGGTAAGTGACCATATGCTGTACGAAGTCGCTAGATCCGAACCGTAGAGACTTGAAGAAGATGGTGAAAGGGGGCGTAAGGCGACCAGGATCGCTGGGGGACAGTGACGACGAACGGAGCAGCTAAGGGTATGGCCAGTCGGGACGCCAGGTCGTCAGCACACCGAGTTGTAAAGGATCTAGCAGCATGAAACACTGGGAAATATTGCGTCGATGCAGTATGGTTGCCAGCGACGGCTGATTGTAACGTCCAAAAATTTTAACAGTTACTAGTCCGGACGTGATTAGGATTCTAGCCATTAACTGATACATTTTAAGTCTCCAATGAATGGCCAAAGCTGTTAATCCGAAACTGGCTCATATATATTGAATGTGTTTGAAAATATGAGAAAAAAGATCAGCTTTTAAATAGAAAAAGGTTGTTTTAAAATGTTATCAGATGTACGAAAATATAGCAGATAAAGCAGAGATACGTTTTAAATTGATGGAATTATTTCAGTTGTTCCGAATCGGATCGAAGGATTTCACGAATTACAATGGAAACAAATATTGTTTGAAATGATAAAGCTGTATACGTGAGCCAACTGAAAATCCGCATGTTACGCAGCATCTGAATTTTCAACTAGTTACAGTGTGATAGAGGATCTGAAGCAAAAGAAATAATTAAATCCTTATTTTTTAACAGTTCAAAGATCTTCGTTTTCTTAATTTTTTTTAGTTACATTTTACTGCCTTGCTACTTTTGGGAGACTTTTTCTTAAACTGTCAAAAAGCTTTTGCGCAGTATCGTAGACAACGTCCGATCAACGCTATCCTTCTTGACGAATTGCGTAAACGGATTTGAGCTTAAAGTTAACCGGATAATATTAGTACAACCATGATATTAGGTCATTTAATAACTTCTCGCTCGAATAGGGGTCTCGCATACCGATTTCGTTAGCCTATGTCGTAGTTAACAACGGCCCGATGTCGGACAATTCTACGCAGAAAGCTGTTATGTAAAAATCAAGACTGCTCTACAGGATCAACACAGGTATCTAAGGGATAGTTAATCAGATGAATTCTCTCGAGTTTTTGACAAATGTCTTTTGTGTCGAAAAGCTGCAAGCTTTACCTTTGCTTTGAATGATTTCGGGTGCAAGGTATTCGGGGGTTCCGCAAAGAGTCCACGTCCGGTCAGAAAGTTGTTTGGCAAAGCCGAAGTCCGTGACCTTCAAATGCCCACTTTTATCAAGCAAAAGATTCTCGGGCTTGAGATCTCTGTCGATAAAAACGGTTGTTAGAACTTGGAGAAATTAGCTTCTTTCAATTTTAATTCCATGCACAGCAGCTCTGCTATGTTTACTCATGACTCAAGACATCACCCTGCAGAAATTGAATTGACCATTCTGATTCAATTTTATGTTATGAGTTTGTCTTTTGCACCTTATGGGGTATCTCACTACACAAACTAGACCAAGCCAATCAATAATGAAGCTCTAGACAATATTAATCACAATGTTGTCTAACAAAATTAAATCTCTAGACAAGTGTTGCATACAGCCCTAACATGAAGAACAGACCACAAGGCGACTCGGAGCTACAAGTTGTTTATAAATACGCCTATCTGGTCTGTGTACAGAATGAGTTGCAGACGGATTTTAAGATCGATCTAATCCGCCTATCGTCAACTCAGTGATGTCGCATGCATCGCTGTGACTATAACTTTCGTTCGTCTGCTATTGTGAAGAATCTATAGAATATCGATGCAGCTCATCTAGTGGCCCACGCCTTCCGAGTTGCAGTGCAGCGTCAATAAACCTGGCTTTCATCTGATCTTGCGGATATCTCTACAGTCAATATCGTATTGTAAATGCGTACGGACAGAAGGCCGGCAAATTGCTGCTACTGTCTGAATAAACGACAGCACAAAATCTATTTTCGTTCATTAAAATTCAGCGAATTCGGAACTGAGAAATCTAAAAACAACGGATACGAAGTGACGCTGGATCCAATATAACAACTTTGAGAAGATGTGCAAATGAGACCGTCTTTATTAATAGTTGCCGATTAGGGCAATGGAATATCTTTAGCTTCTTGCCCGCTTGCCTGCGGCAAGTGGCACGTGAAATTGACGAGTCCACGGGTGATCATTTAGCATGCAGTAGTATTGTATAATGCGTATAATGTTGCAGTCTTCATCTGAATGTCTTCTGCCTAAGCGATGGCTGTCGTTCGGAGAGTATTGGGCATGCACTGCCGCTGTAGTGCTTCCCACCGGATGATGGTGCAGATTTTCAAGATGTTTCAAATACTAGTTTGCACGCCACCGCACTTGCCATAACAACTCTCGTATCTACCATCTCATGTCTCTTTCGCTTGTCGCCGCGGGCTCCAATGCCATGACAAAAAGTTTTTTCATTAATGAAAATTAGGACATAATTACCAACAGTAACTTGTAATTATCTATTATATATTTCGCCTTATAAGATATATGACTGTAATAACATTACTCTTTAAATAGTCTGAATTTAATAGTTGAAAACTGCGCCTGTGTTCTATGCTATGCGCTTATTTTGCTTGATCTCTCTTGCTGGATAATCTTTATAAAAATATACACTGTTGCAGATCGAATAGCGCAGTGTGATAGCTTATAATGTTTTTCGTTCGTCGTTTAAAACCCCTTTCCCCTTGCTAATATTCTTTGTTACGGAACGGCGTTATTTACATCTAATAAAGCGTTTTTTTCTTTTTGGGTTACCATTGCACGTCTGAATTTAGTAAGAGCATTTTTATGTTTAGATATGTAAGGACAAAGACCATAGCTACGTCGCGTCGGGACGGCGTTGGTGCGATTTAAAAGCTGCAATTTAGTAGTAGTAATAGATATGCTAATTTTTTTACTAAACTTATGGGAATACTTTGAACCTGGACTCAGTATAGAGCGCCTTAAAGATAAGTGAAATATTTGGTAAGTTTCACCCTGATATATTTTACAATTTGCTATAATACAAGTACAAATGGCGCCCAGGTCCATAAGAAATCTGTTCATGGTCAAAAAGTGACCCAGGCATAGGTCTGTAGCCTTTACTGTAGGAACTCCAATCTGAAGGAGGCTTCTCCAAATGGTCAACCAGTTATTGAAAATACTGATAGAACTATTGCGAATGCTGGCTAAGTAGCCATGATATTGTCAAAAACCTAAATATCGATCGTATTTCCATCTGCGAAATTCCGTAGAAGCGTAACGAACTCGAGCCATTTTATTCCAGCGGTTGATGAACCGCCGAAAAACAGATGAAGGGTGGATAATGTATACCACTATGAAAAATAGATTAATCCATAACCAGTCGCAAAATTAGAAATATGGACATTTATTGCCAATAACTAACAACTTGACAACAACGCACTGAAAAAGACTGACTGGAGTTGGTGAGCAGGAAAGGCGTCATCCTCCATCATGACACCGCCTGACCACGTACGTAGTTAGCTAGCCGGCAGAAGTTGAAAACATTTGGAAGAAAATTTGGATTCATCCGCCACGTAGTCAGATCTTACACCATCAGACTTTTGGTCTTTGTAAAACTTTTTAATGGATTTAATTTAGTTCCAATAGAGGGAAGCAAAACGTACTTGGCATACGTTTTCACACAAAAATTACACAAGTTCTACAGTGTCCGGATTATGATGTTACCAGAAAAAGATGCCGCAAAGTCATCAACTAAAATGGAGTGTATTTAGTTTAATAATATAGCTTCAAAATACAGAGAATATTTGCTTCAGTTTTAGTTTAGAAACAGCCAATACATACATCTATATATATATATATATAAATATATACATCCAATGTATATATTTTTCTTGTACCTGTAGACGATGTTCTTTGAGTGAAGATACTCGAGTGCGAGAACGATCTCACTGGCGTAGAACACAGCCGCTGAGTTGGAGAATTTGCCGGCGTTGCGGAGATAAGTGAACAATTCTCCGCCAGCTACAAACTCCAGTAGCATGTACAGAGCCTGCTGTGAATGATGTGTCCACAGCAGCCTGAAACAACAGGATCGATGGGTATCTTGGAATTGTTACCAGGTTGGATACACCCTCAAATCGCGTTTATGTCTCTTCCTATCTTCTATTCTGTTCACTGTTAACAATCTGTTCTATATTTTCTATCCTTTGGCCGCAAGCTAATTGAGTCTTCTTTTATTAAGACGACACGTCTAAACTGATCCATTCCCATCACACTTTGCCTTTGCGATTCCGCCTATTCTATAGCGTTTTTACCCTTCTATGTTCCGAGTGTTACGTCCGGTGTCGCCGTTAGGCGCTCCATCAGACAGATAGACGGCTGGCTGTCACCCAGCACGAAACTGTTTGTTTATGCCCGGGTTCGAATCTAAACCGCAAGGGCATTATAGCACTAACCGTCGCCGCATGGAAATGGATATGCGATTCAGTACACTTTGTCATATATCTAATTATAATATACAAAACAATAAAGAAAGGAATTACATTTATTATATACAATCTAGTAAATTAGTATAGTAGGATTTGTTTATCCGTGATGTCGATTGGCTGCTTCTGGCTCGAGGGCTATTGTTGGCTACATGTCCAATGTTTTCTTATAAGGTTAATATGGTAAAGAATGTTTGCAATATGGTTTACCCAATCAGCAAAGATGCACATGAGTCTTAACATCGTGATTTCTATACAGTCACTTTGGTGCTGCTGACAACGATGGCCTTCGCCTGTGGCAATTTATAGGAAATATCTACTCCAGATTTAAATGAATTACATTCGGGCCAAGAAAATTTGCTTAATACCCAGATATGAGCATCCACACGTTTTGTTGAACTTAAAAGTTCATTGGTAATCCTGGAATGCATCATCTAACTGAGAACCAGAGGACATTGTATAATCAGCCCTCAGCTCTCTCCTAAGGCACGTTCTATGACAAAAATATTTATCTTATGTCTGAATTGTCACAAATATATGGCGGCGCATTCCTTTACATGATAAATAATTATATATAATAATATTACTATTTTGTAGCTAGAAAATAGTATAAGGAGTGCAGGCTAGTCGGGAGGCTTGCAGGAGTGCAAGTCGGGTTTTTTAATACCAACATTGGTAAATCTATTCCACAGCACCTCACTTTATTTCGATCTAGGAAGTGAAGGATAGAAGACGCTCCTGGGAGCATCTGATAAACTGACTACTGTAGTTCAAGCTCCTCAGAGGCCACTCCGGGAAAAAATATTCCATCAGCACATTACTAGGGGGTTATTGCATACTAGCCAGAAGTTATTGTCAGTATATAGGCAGCAGTAGTTTGATGAACTGCTATTTAGTTCATTATAGGAGTCTGAGCACGTGAACTCAAGTTTCCGCAATTTAGTTAGTTAATTATTATCTAAAAACTTAATATGTCTGTGAGCACTTCAAGGAGTATAAAAGGGGAAAACCATGTGATAAGGTATATGTTAAATTAATACCATCTCTTCTTTTTTTTTTTTATGCTAATCTAATGAATCAACTAAACTGTCGGTAATTTATTATTAGCGACTTCCTGTAATGTAATAAACTATAATCAAGTATGGGTACACTGAAAGGAAAGCTTATCGAAGCTACTATTCTACCTCTATCGAGGCCACTCCCACAGAACGGCAGGTCGTATACTCACTTTATAATAAAGGGATGTTCTATTTGTTGCAAAATAGCTTTTTCGTTGCGTACGTGATCCACCTGGAATAAAACGCACATTTATATTGCCAGCTGTTTTCGTTTATTTCGTTCTTTTTTAATTGTCCTTAATTTTAGGCACGGGAAAATGCTGTTAAGTTTCGCTATAGTCAGAATAGCGTATATATAGAATGTCTAGGAAATTTCCAAGAAAAACGACGGCAAATTTTTTAACGTGTTTTCATTTTTCGTGAGTCCATCCCAAAAAGTCATTTGCATTACACACGCAAAACACACTGTCAACCAAATATCCTTCGACGGAACCGCTTGCATAGCTCAGTCCTTTCCGCGTTTCAGCCTTTTATACTTCAGCGTCAGGTAGACTGCCTTCGGTACCTTCGGTGTGCGGCAAGTTATTCCATCTTATTAAAACCATGAAACATGTGCATTCAATACACAAGCCACAGAAAGATTTTCAACATGTTAAGATAGACCTCACTATCGACTGGCATGACCATCATTCAATTGTCACTTTCGACAAAAAAAGCCAGTGACAACTTCGCCCCATGAGCCACACTGCCCGTGACTGTCTTTTAGTGAAGCGCTTGTTCGACAGCCACACTGGGATCTTGTTGGCTGCAAATGCGACAATTCCGTTTGTTCACGTAGCTATCTAGCTCAAAATGAGCTTTATCAGAGAAGATGATGTAATCAAAAAAGTAGCTAGCTCGTGCATTATACATTCATCGTGTGATCTGGAAACGAACGACGCTTGTCATGGTCCTGGACCCTCGATGGTCGAGTCAGTTGTGTGGGATGAAGATGCAACTCCTGTTCCAAAAATGGGTTGGAAAATGTTCGCTGATAGGCCGATTTGTTGAAGTAGAGGTCATGTTAAGGTCGTTGTACTGGATCCGGCGCTGTTGCTTATTGCAGTGATGTCACAGTTTATTCGTTCAGTTCCATGTCTCTGTTTGGCTTCATTCTATCTGCAAGTGGGTCGGTTAAGTCGATATTCTTAATTAGTGTTTTCCGCAGCAAGAAGAACTGTTGTTTGTGTTCTGTTGGACACTTACGGAGTATCACCGTAACCGACCTCCTATTACAATAGTAAATTTTTACATAAAACAAATGCTGTTCCCAACTGTAGCGGTATATCATGACAGGCCGTACACGCTGCTGTATTTATGGGTCGATAGTCTGCTAGCCTTTGCTTTTTGCGAAGGACGAAATTGGCCGCTAAATTTTCACACACTGTAGAATAGGCGCCATAATTAAAAGAAACACGCAATGTGCACTATCGGTAGCTGCGCTCAAATGTGATTCGCAATATAATAGGCCTGCAGACAGACGCCGTACTCGGCATAGACCGAAAGCGTATAACTAAATAGAGATCAAAGCACCAAACAGGCTTTACAGGTAATAAAGATTATTTCGTACAACACCGATAGCTGACTACAATTGAGAGTAACCTCGAGTTGATAAGTCTGTCACAGTAGATGTTGGAAATAAATTAAGATCGAGCGGATATACGCAATGGAGTTCAGCGACTGGTGACTCGTGCCTTCGCAGTGGTTGAGATAAGCAAACTGGATAGTGGACTTCGCACGTATACGAATTTAACTTCACCGCGAGAGTTTACCACGGCGTCCCTTCGATCGCTCATTGGCCTTCACCACTTTTTCTGTTTGTTGTTGCCTATGTGCATTTTCATGCGAAACCCGCCGCCCAATAACAAGCGATGTTAACATAGCAAAACAGATATTAGCATACTCGTTCATACTATATGTATGTATGTACTGGATGTTGCCAAACCTTCTTAGGGACATTCTCCGGGTAAACGGAATACGTTCTGGAATTGAAGCCCCTCAGCGGGCCACAGAAGCGATCCCAAAGGACAATCTAAGTCTATTCCAGATCCAAGCTGAGACAATAGAGACCTAGCGAGCGAAATCAGGAAATGACACCTTTTTGCTGGATCTCCTTTTATATTTGAAAGTTTAGCACGAGCTATTGTTTGGTGTGACTCTTTTGAACTGGAATTCGAAAGAAAATAAATAAGGAGAGAACTAATCAATGAAATTTTACTGCAGCGCGTGCGACAAAGAGACAGACAACCGGTAATCTATTAGTTGCCTTGGAACAATGGTGCCATTAAAAGGACGATTACTTCCTAAGAATATTACTCAATAAACGCAGGAAGTTCCGTTGGCCATTGCAACAACGCAAACTCTCATTCGGCGTTGTTAACTTAACTTAAAGATTACAATTTGTGTATTGTATGGTTGCTGTTAATATGGAAACATCTCACGGCAAGTCAACACAGAAGCTCGACCAAATAACTACATCAAGCGCATCATAAGCCTTCATCCCTAAAACCTGACTCGTTTGTCTGCTCTGCAATATATTACTTATATTATATAAGTTAGTCAATAAAAGTTATCATTGCGATAAGTTGAAGCTATTGATTGCTTATCACCTTGATTCTTGTTTCTTATTGTATTAACTGGATTTTGAAATCTAACTGCGATAATTTAACAGACGACAACGTGCAGAACTAACCTGTTTAAGGCGGATGACGTCATCAATACGCATTATTTTTAAGGCATAATAATTATCGTCTGCTCGACAAAGGCAAACCCGTCCGAATGTACCGGTGCCTGAAACAAGTGGTAACGATAAGGACAAGAAGCTGATCGGAAAATTGCAATCGTACTGCATCGGATAAGTGGCAACTATATTAACATTCACCTGTAGCAAAATCTGTCTATGAGTAGCTCGTCGATGGGCGACTGGTTAATCCTCTCTGGAGAGCTGCCGTAAGACTTTGTGCCCCAGTCGGGAGCAGGTAGTTGTTATTTGGTACTTCTTTATGCCCCTATCTATTCCAACTGCATCCTTTTCGTGCTACTCTTTTTGCTCTGCTTCTTCCCTTCCACTGTTCTCCCCCTTCTGCGTTCGTCTCGCTTCATCTCCCCCCATATTCTCTGTGTGAACGTGTGTGTGTGTGTGTGAATGTGCGTGTGTACATGTGTGAATGTGCGTGTGTGCGTTTGTGTGTATGTGTGTGTGTGTGTGTGTGTGTGTGTGTGTGTGTGTGTGTGTGTGTGTGTGTGTGTGTGTGTGTGTGTGTGTGTGTGTGTGTGTGTGTGTGTGTGTGTGTGTGTGTCTATCTATCTATCTATCACTCCTCGTTTTCAGCCTCTCCCGTTTCCCGGATCTGATCTTCGTTCTTCTCGTGCTCTTACATATGTTCAGTATTTAAATTTTAGGTTTTCGGAGACGCCACTGAAATGCCAAGAACTCGTCTCATTTTAACTCCTGCTTTCGGTGCATCTAGCGCTAACTTTGCTAAATATTATCGCTAGCATGATCGACTTGTATTCTCCTAGAATTCGAGCTCAGACGGCGACTCACTGTGGAACTGTTACTTCTTCGTTTATTTCGTTTATTGATGCTGCCCATTTGTCGATCCAGGCAGAGTCGGGCCTATTAACGGGCTCAATGAAACGAGGACCTTTTTGCAGCCTAGAGCATGCGATCTTTAAGTAGGCTTCTGGGGTTGTTATACCTGGTCTAACTGCGACGCTTATACTCTATAATAATGCCATTGTAAACCTAATAAGTACCCAAGAAGGGTCACCGTACTCTGTACATTTTCACACCGGAATGATGCTAGCAATCGAGCGGTTTATGAGTGAGGGGCACTGTACAATAAACAAGTCGTCGTCCGTATGTGCTAAGCTTGCCATGTCGAAATCAGTTATAAATTTATTTTAATCGATCTGGTCTTTGCAGAAAAGCCACAATCATTTATGTGTCCTTACTTTGAGAAGGCCAACAATTGAATAATTTCTATATAGGGCATCAAAAATATAAACAAGTTTAATTGCCACTTCTAGGCACAGATGCCGAATTCTTATATCAATCAGTATTGAGTGGACATTTCGTTTCTATTTCTGCTGGTAATTATTCATAATGATTTACTCGCTCGAATTAGCTAAATATATATATAATATAGATAACTTAATCAGATGGTTACCATAATACTTTTTTAAAGGTACGTTCTCGTTCTACGTTAGCAACCGAACGGCAATCTTAAGACTGCCAGAAGCTTAATTTGATTGATGTATTCCACGTATATTGTAATCTTTACATAAGTGAATTGCTATTAATTAAATTGTGTACAGATGTTCGAGTCCTCTTACTTAAAGAGTACTTTAGCCTAAATGAACATAATTCTCCGAAATATCTTTAACCGACCGCGCAAGTTACCTATGGAGACGCCCCTGAGCGAACATATGTCACTTCTTTCATTGCCTGTTTCAGCCAACAGAGAGAGGTAAGATTGTTTGTTGAATATGGCTTTGTCTACTGATGTAATTTTTCCGTGCTTATCGATTCGACTCTCTGGGTATGTTCGATATTTCATTTAGCTGCTTGGTGTTTCCTTTTGCCTCCTTGGTGTAATTTTGCTGTTACAGGATGGTAAGGGACTATTACAGTTTTACTATTAGTTCTGCCGCCACCATCACCGCCCGTCAAAGCAATTGCTTGGGGTCGCCTGTGGTTGTGCAAAAGGTGACGCCACTTCCGCTTCTATCATGAAATGTCCCTTTGCGTCGGTCCTTAACTCACCTTTTTGTCTCGATTGTCTAAATGCACTTTTCGTAATAACGCAATGAGCGGAGTATTAGTGGGCCATCTATCGTCCGTTGTTTACTTATTTATTTTGGGGAGGTTGGGGCTTCGTTGCACCGTTGGTTTCTTTCTCCGTCTATCAGCTTCCATCCCTTTCTCGAAGACGACATGACCTTGGCCGTGACAATAAGGGTCTTTCATATTCAAGGAAGGCCCCTGTTTGGAAGCATCTAGAAGGTCTACGCAGTATCAGAGCTATTAGCAGCCGTATAAGCGAGAACAGTGTTGAATGTGACGCAAAACGACGAAATTTGGTTTTATTGGAATCCCTGCCATCGAGACTGAAACTATTACCATTTAATCGTATAGTGACGATATATTTAGCACGAACAGCGCACAAGTTCGCTTCGTTGTAGTAATTACCTGTTCCGCTTTGCCAATTTGGCCTGGATAGATATTGTTATTAGAGGCTACGTGTACACAACACTTACGTCGAAAAATATGATGCGGCTATCATGTATCGGTAATCACACGCCCGATCTTTATACGAACATTCAGCATCGTTGCTGAGTTAGGTTCCGCAATGTAAATACCTCTGCGCATAAGGCCGAGGGCCTAAACAAACAAACAAAACGATTCGAAATAATACAATTTGAAGCTGTCGGCCGCATCATTGTCGCCTTCAGTAGCGCGCGACCACCTATAAGTCGATCGACTTATCTGCTTGACAAATAGTTAACAAAATTAGAATTATTACCCATTCAACTTTACTCATTGTTTACATTACGAATATGTAATGCAGCTGCCGTTGCTATGGTTACTTTCTTACTTTCCATGTAAAGGAAAGGAGTATGTTGTTTCACTAGCCGTTGCTAGCTATGTGTGTGTTGTTTACATTTGATACTCATCTGGCATGTGACCTAGCATACATACGATAATGATGACTGACTGCGCTCGGGTGGTTCCTATTGCGGTCACCATGATGATGCGTACTCGGTGCGTGTACTACCGCTATCCTTTAAGTTCCAGCTTAGATAGCCGCTTCTTCTTCTATACATCCCTCGATTATACGAGACACGACTCAAAGAAACACATACGTGCATTCATATGAACGTATGGTGAGACAGCGCTACTGTGATAATGAGAAAAAACGTTCTTTAAAATAGCTAATTACATGAAGCATTAAAATATTATCCGTAGCTAATTGTTTCTATTACCTTCGGCTGGATAGAATGGAAAAGCCCAATTAGACTGTGATCCAATTAGAAGTTAAAATACTAGTTTTGGACGTCGAATTATCTTGTGGGTGAATGAAATGTCACTTCGAGACTTTGAGCTAGTCCTGCACAGAAATAAGGCCCTAGAGTTTACCTTATCCAATAATACGTTTTTATTGTTGGCATTGAAAATAGAACAATGTTAGTAACGAAGTCGCCAAAAATGGTTTCAGATAGTTCTAGGTTTGATTATTAATATGTGCCCTCGACTGACGATTGTGTCCGTGCCACCTTCACGGTGTTATTCAAGCTGAAGTGAATTGTATAGTATAAGTATTTGGTTCAAGATTGGCTCCCCTCGTAACTTAACCCGCATACCAATTTACTAATAAAACAATAAACACAGGATAATCAGGCTTTAAATTTCCAATTGACACAAGTCAAAATTAAGGCTATGAATATTCGCTGTTTTTTTGTCTTTGACCGTTTGCTTTGACAGGTACTCGATCATCATTATTGGTAACGTGTGAACAGACCTAGCCATCCGCACGCGTTTACTACAACAGGGAAGTCAGAATACATAAATTAACTGTGGGCCAGGCCAGCGAAGGTACTATTGGGACTCATTATCACTCATCACCGTATTTCGAACGAAGTCATCAAGACGTTGTTGTTCCCGAACAAGCGGCCTAATATATCGGTGAGACACCATGCGCCGGTCTTCGGTGTTCGCCTGCGGGGACGATAAGTCCAAAGCAAAATGGTCATACAACCATACACATCGTAGCATGTTGGCTAGATGATTTAAAATTTTCCCCTCAGTGCGACCTCAGTGGTGGTAATTTTGCCCGTTTGCGCTTCAAGAGTAGCGCCCGACCAGATAAGCTCTCCTGCCTTGGTCCAAGTGAGCGCCTTCATTTATTCGGTCTCGCCGCTTCTACCCTCAAAGCGTGTTTCTTTGTTTGCAAATAGGTGATTACTTCTCTAACCATCTTTCGTTGTTCCCGGCTGATACAGCCCTCGCTTAGTTAACTCTGACTAGTCCATGTTAACCACTGTGCCAGCTCTGTACACACATAAAACTACTTAGTTCTGAAGTGAAGCGTGCTATATGGACAGATATTCGCGACTATAGTGGTCATACCATATCGATGATTACGGCTTTTGCTTAATCAAGATGGTTCACTTAAGCGTTGTGTATCGTTACCAAACGGCGGGTGGCGGTTACCAACAGGTAAACCGCGTTCTTATGACTACTAGCTGTACATTTGCTCATCGGGCACAATAGGCCGGCTACCGATATGAGCGTGAGTACAGTAAAAGCCGACCAGGTGTAGATCGCGCTTAACTGTGTGTGTGTGTTTGTGTGTGTGTGAGAGTGTGTGTGTGTGTGTGTGTGTGTGTGTGTGTGTGTGTATAATCAGTTCAGCCTGACAAAACCGCTAGTAAGGAAGATCTGCACATCCATAGCTCGTCTAAATGGACGAGCTCGTGCATAACGAGCGCTCGGACCGTTACGCCTTTCTCTTAGCCTAAGTGTCCATACTGCCTACCTCCTCTACATATGGCACAAGCGCAAACCGCTATAATGAGTAAATATATAATGTAATATAGAGGATGTCTAAGGAGACGGCCCTACAGGTGAGCACTGTCGAATATAAGCTTATCAACATGAAAGTATAATTTGCGTAACGCCTTCAACCCACCCTGCAACGGTTTGAGGCGGGGAAGAAAAAGGATTCTTGTTATGTTTTGCACATCTGAGCAAAGCTGCTTCATCAATGGGGTAGGTGCCATTTATT